GATCCTAACTCATAGCTATCGTCTCCTTGAATACACTTTCAACGTATCTAAAAAATAAACAAATATTTTGTCTCAAAACTTTCGGTTCGCCCGTTATGTCTGCTATATTTTCTTGACAATTATTTATTTTAGAAAAAGGAAAAATTTTTGAAGTGTCGCATATAGACAATGCTGAAAAATTCTCTTACTATACAAATTAGGGATGTAATGGTACTGGTGCACTAGTCTTAAAATGTACGTACAGACTAATGGTGAATGCCTAATGAAATTAGGATAGTTTTGTATTGATTTTGATTTTCTCGATCAGGAAGGCAATTTTAATAAAATAATTGAATTTTATAAAAAGAGACTAAAGGTTTTTAGTGTTCAAAAATTCGAATCTATAGGAAGATTGTTGAAATTTTCGAATTCGAGAAAGGCTTAATTCTCACAGTTTGATAAAACTCAGCTATTTTCTTGAAATAAACTTCCATCGACTAAAAAAAATCGAAATGAATCTAAGATCATCGTAGTTTTATCTTGCCTACATCAATGCAACGCTCTATCTCAGACCGATGGCATCAGTATTTATCGTTGCTGTTGCATTCTTAATACAAATCATAAAATAGCTTTTTCTATCTTTTATTTATAAGATTCATCTTTTCAACCAGTTTCGTTATTTTCTTTGTAAATTGTCAAGTATATTTAATCCCCCGGTATGAAATAATGTATCATTTCGCTCTTCATAGATACACAAGAGAAAAAAAAATAAATAGATAAATTAAACCAATATTCAATTGACTGTTATGAACACTGAGTAGATCGAAATCCAGAAAACAAAAGAAAAAAAAAAGAAAACAAATTTATTTCTATCTTGTTGTTGATGTATGATATAAAATTGATTGACTAACAATAGGTTTAAGTAAAACATATGCATCCGAAGCATATGTTTGTGAACTAGATGATTGAATAAACATTTGATTTAAAAGTTTTTCTTTTAATTTCATATCACATCTTATTGGTATATCAGTTCCATTCGATGATATATTTGATGTTTGTTTCATATGTTTAGCAAATAAATTTGGTATACCAGCAAGCATATTTGAAAAATCTTTTTGTTGTTTTTTATAAATAGCTAATAATTCAATATCAATTGAAAATGATGTTAAACTTTTACAACCCATTAAGAATAATTCAGCAGTTCGACGATAATATTCAATAATACGTGCACATAATATAGCTAAACAATCAATAGATTCATCAGCTAATGTCTAAAATTTAAAAAAAACAAAAAAAAATTGTTTGTCTGTTTTTTTTCTTTTCGTTTCGTTTTACTTTTTGATCAAGTTCTGTATCCATCCAATCCCATTCAGTAAGAAATTGATTAGCTGATTCATAAACTTCAAGTAATTTATCAACAGGTACTGTTGAACGTAATTGTGTTTGATATGCAGTAAAATTTTGTGATAATATATCTAAACTTGGTACATGATGATTATCATTATTATCATCATATATTGTTGATGAATCTGAAATGTGATTAATTTCAAAATCATCATCATCTACTTGAAAATAATTATCAATTTGTTCAAGAATTTTTTCATTTCCATAACTCATGGTTTGTAAAGTAATTGATGATTGATTTGATAATAATTCAAGTGCTTCAAAATGAGCAAGACCTAAAATAGAATGTAGTTTTAATTTAATTTAAGTTTGTTTTTTGTTTTTGAAAAATTTTACCTTGATGTTTTTCAAATAATTGTAAAAATGTAGTCATTTCAGTTTTTGTCGTACTTGTTTTTGTTTCAGTTTCATTTTTTACTTCACGTATTATCTAAAAAATATTGAAAAGAGAATTTAAAAAAAAAGTCTTTCTGTGAATTATACTAACTTCAGATAATGTTGGTTGATTTTGTTTTCTTAATAAACGTCGTGTTCCTTGTAATGCAGGATCAGCTTCATTAATTACCTTTATTTTATTTTTTTTTGAAAATAAAATTCCGATATATTTAGACATAGACATGTTTTCATTGAATACATACATCAAATGTTTTTTTACCAACAGTTTCAAGAACATCAAGGCTACCCGCAACAACTTTCATACCCTTGAGATAAATAAAAACAAATACATAAGCAAATTTATTATTCTTTATTTTGTGACATACAGTATTCGTTAGTTTTTCTAAACTTAATGCATTAAACCAACCATCTTGATTTGTAATTGAATCATTTTTTTCTGTTTGAATATTTGATGATTCAGGTTCTAAAAATAAATCATTTTTTTAAAATTTCAAGATTAATATTTCTTTAAATAGAAATTGAATTTTTTTTATACATTCTATTAAATAGATGTAAAAACAAAAAAAAAAGAAAATTTTCTTTTTTTTGACAAACCATCTTCACTATCTGATGTTTCGCCTTTAATTTTAAATGCCATTCGATTCATTTCTGCTAATTGTTGAGGATCAGGTGCACCAAGACCAGCTTCAACTGATTCAATAACTGCACTGAAACCTTCACCTAAAATAATAAAAAAAGACAACAAAAAAAAAATATTTTTCTCAAAAAGAAGATTATAAAATTAAATCAATACATACTAACAGTACTTGTTAATGTTGAAACACTTTGTTTAGCTGTTGATAAAAATGTTCCAAAATTACTCCATGGATTATGCCAAGTTGTCTGAAGAAAAGCAGATTATTTTTTTTCAATAAAGAAAATATTTTTTATTAAATCTACTGTATGTTTTGGTGATTGAGCAGCAAGTTGATCTAATATTTGATGTGCATCTTTAACATCATGTTTACTTGTTGTTGTTGTTGTTGTTGTTGATGTTTCTTCATTATGTTGTTCAATTGAATGAGATAATTGTGTATTAAGTTTATTATCTTCTTTATTTAAATTTAATTCAATTGGTTTTTTACGACATTTTTTTCGTTGTAAACGTTGTTGAGTAGATGATTCCAATTGATCATCTTCATCAGAACCAATTTGTGATAAACTATCACCTGTTTTTGAAGGTGATGATGATCCTGATGATATTGAATCTTGTTGTAATGGTTTAGAAGTTTCAATTGGTTGTTCATCATCAATATTCCAATCATCCCAACCATCAGTCACTGCTGATGAACGTGATATTGATTGAACTTGATTTTCATTAGTAGATGATAATATTGCATCAGATGAAAGAGGTGAAGACGGTAGTTTAATTATAGGAGGACATATTGATTCACCTTCGTCTGCACTTTCAAATTCATCATTACTATCATCTTCTCTAGTAGAGTTTGACATTCGGAAGGTATTATTGAGTGCAAAAAAAAACAAACAAAAATGATTATTTTTGTTGAGAAAACGTTTATTGTTTTCAGATTTTTGTCGGAAGGTTGACGCGTATACAGGAAAATACAAAATATTATTTATAACAAATGAATCATATTTTTCCTCAATCACGAGATTTTGCGATATTTCAACCTATAAAAAAAAATAGTATTATTGGTTCTTGATGTGGGTTTTCTATTGAATGTGATATTTAGTGACATCTTTTGATGAGTTATAAAATTCAACTAAAAAAATAGTTTTAACATTATTTATCATTCATGTTTCTGTATGTTTAAATCTGAAAAAGTTTATAATTATATCGTTCTCATTCACATCTTTAAAAAAAAAATCTTTCGGAACATATTTGAATCACACTACTTTACTAACCAATTAATATATAAATTGAAGAAGTGTCTACTTCTATTACTATATTATTATATTTCAAAGAATATTTTGATTATTTTTCTTTTATACAATAACTCATAACAAATAATGCAAACATATCGAAATTGACTAATTTTATTTCTTTTTGCTTGACAGATGATAGAGTCATCTAGTAGAAAAAAAACAGCTATTTACATCAAAAATAAATTAGATTCAAAGTCTTGCATATGCTCGGAATATTGATAAGAGCACTCTTCCAAGAAACTTATCTATTGATTACTTATGGTCTGGATGGAAAATTAAAAACAAGTAATACTCTGTTAATAAATCGTAATTCATATTGGAAAACAAATTTCCATTTCTAAGTGGAAGAACATGTTCATTTGAACTATTGAGTGAGATATAATAAGCATTATATATTAGAAATCATTGTTCATCTAACATAAAACAACTAATATTATCTATGAAAAAAGATATATAACTATGTTTATTATCGAATTAGGAAAGATTTTTGTTGTGTTGACAAACTTTACGTGTTCCTTGTTTTTCCTCAGCGAAATTGAACCATTTTCTTTTTGTTTTTGTTCATCAATCCTCGTAACAAGGATTAATCATTCCTTTGAATCTTGGTGACTTCGGAACAGCACGGTATACAAATAATAATTAAAGTGCGAAAGTATCCGATAATCATTCGAATATATTTTATACGCCATCTGTTATCTTTGTTTTTAATTGGTTTATTGAATGAACAAATATGAATATTAATTTTTTTTTTCGAATAGGTAATAATATTCGACGAGAACTACAATTCAAAGATAATCTCATGTCGTATTGAATGACATGAATCTTAGCAATATAAAATCGGCCAAAGATGGCCTTCTTTTCGTTGGTTTTAATCAAGATGCTAGTAAGATTTTATTATATATGTATATATTCTTATCTTTATTTATCAATATCATTTAGATTGTTTTGCTTGTGGTCTTGAAAATGGTTTTCGTATATATAATACAGATCCACTTCGGCAAACACAACGGCAAGGTAAGAAAAAAATAAATAAGTAAATTGTTTTCGATTAATTTTTTTATTTTATTCTCTAGATTTTGGTGATGGTGGTATTGGACAAGTTGAAATGTTATTTCGTTGTAATTATGTCGCACTTGTTGGTGGTGGAAAATCACCTAAATATTCTCCATCAAAGGGTAAGCAACCGGAATTTCAATGAGCTAAGCCATCCCATATGTTATCGACCTTTGATCCAACCTAATCTATTGAAACTTCTAATAAGCAATTCTAATACACAACAATGATGATAAGAATTAAATGTATTGATAATAAAATGATTCAATTTCATATAAAAAAAAAATCTACACATTGATCTCTGAGTTGTGTATATAGTAAAAATAACAAAAAACAAAATCAAAAATTGAAAGATCTTGTTATGTTTTTCTTTTCTTCTAGTTATGATTTGGGATGATGCAAAAAAACGTGTTGTTATTGAACTTGAATTTTCAACAGAAGTTAAAGGTGTTCGTTTACGTCGAGATCGGTATATAAAATAAAAATGAATTAAAATCTAAGAAAAAAAAAAATTTCAATTTTTTAGAATTATTGTTATACTTGAAACAATGATTAAAGTTTATACATTTACACAAAATCCTCAACAATTACATGTTTTTGAAACATGTACTAATACTCGTGGTATGAATAGATTAATTTTTCTTTTTTTTTCTTTTGTGATTCATTTGAATTTTTATTATTAACAAAAAAAAAAAAACAAGGTCTTTGTGTTGTTTGTCCATCGGGTTCAAAATCCTATATAGCTTATCCAAGTCGAACAATTGGTCAAGTTTGTTTAGTTGATTTAGCTGCAACAGAAAAACCTGTTGTAGAAATTCATGCACATGAAGCATCTATTATGTGTAAGCTTTTCTTTTAAAATTGAGAAATAACATTTTTCATCATATTAGAATTTCTAGATCTTGCTATGAATATGACTGGTACACGTTTAGCAACTGCATCTGAAAAAGTATTTGATTTGTAAGAAAAAAAAAAGACATCTACAATTTTATTTAACATAGGGAACATTAATAAGAATATTTGATACAGAAACAAGTCAATTACTTAATGAATTACGACGTGGTGCTCATCATGCAACGATTTATTGGTAATAGTTTTTATTAAAATTTTTATTGAGAAATTAAATTGGTTGTTTTTTTGTGTGTTTTAGTATAAATTTTAATCAAGATTCAACTCTTTTATGTGTATCAAGTGATCATTCAACGGTACATATTTTTTATATAGAAGAATCACATAAAAATAAACAACGTTCATCAGGGTTTGTTATGTTTTTTTTGAAAAAATTATATTTATTTATTTATTTGAATGAAGTGCCGTAGCATTTTTACCGAAATATTTTAATTCGCAATGGAGTTCTTGCAAATTTCATTTGCCAGAGAATACAATAAGTATATGTGCATTTGGTCCTAATTCGGATGCAAATAAAACAGTGATTGGTATGTTTTTGTTTTTTAGTCAATTGAAATCATTTCGTTTATTTTTTGTAAAGCTCTGTGTTCTGATGGTTCATACTCTCGATTTTTAATTTCACCAAAAGGTGAATGTATACAAGATCAAAGTCGGCAATTTCTTGAAGTTGGTGAAGACGGTTCGAATCTAAGTGGTGCTACAGCTAATTAATTGAGAATTTTTCACGTGTAATACGAACAATTCATTCATTTATGTTTATTCTTTTTGTTTTTCTTTTCCTCGATGTATAAAAAAATTAAGACGATTGATTTAATGATAATTGTGATTTTGTTGGAAGCCAGATGTTAATGAATATTATTCTTTCTCTTTTTCTTTAAGATGAATACTATAAGCAGATGTTTATCTCTACTGGTAAAACAGAGATCAATTTTTCAACAACATCCAATGTTTATTCGAACTATTCCGTAAATTGTTGTTATTTAATAATAGAGAAAAAAAAAACTTGTTTTTTTTCTATTCAGTAAATTTGTTCCCGATAATATTCATCATGATAAAGAAGTTCAACCATTATATAATAAAGTAAATAATCTTGTCAAAGATAAATATCAAAATCGACTGTTTGCTGTTATTCAAATTGGTAATGAACAACGAAAAGTAACAACAGAAGATATTATTTGTAAAGGTGATGAATTTCATCCAACAATTGGTGATAGAATTCGATTTGAAAAAGTTAGTTTTTTTTTTAATAATTCTATAGAAAATAAAATTCTTTGTTTTTGTTTTTTTGCAAAAAGGTTCTTCTTGTTGGTAGTTCAGATTTTACAATTATTGGACGACCTATTCTTGATCGAAATTTTGTACGAGTTGAAGGAATTGTTATTGAAAAAACTTTATCACAAACTCAAATGGATTATTGGTATGCACCAAGAAAGAAAAAAGTCGGTCAAAGACATTTTCGTAAGTAAATTTATTTTGTCATTATGAAAGAAGAAAAAAAAACAAACAATTATCTTGTTTTTCATAGTTTGGCGTGATCCATTAACTATGATTCGTATAACAAATATTGAAATACTTGAACCAATACCAGGAACAAATCAATCGAACTCATGATATTTGTTTGTTTGTTTTTTTGTGATTGTTAGAACTGTTTGCTCGATGGTAAATATAGGCTTGTTTTTTTTTCTTTTGTCAAATAACAAACATAAATTATTTGACTCATCTATTAATGAAGATTTTTTCTTTTGAATAAGACAACAATTCTAATAAGTAATGAATATTCATTAAAAAGAAATTTTATGAAATGAATATATTATGAAATGGAAACGTGTACATAAAAGAATTTATCGTACTATGTTCTTCTCACGTCTATTCTTTTGGAAAATAATTCAAAAAAAATTATTAATTGAAAATAAACAGTCTTCTTATGAATTTCAAAAGAAAATGAAGTAGGTAATTACGCCTTTAAATATATATATATATACTTTAATTTACTGCAAAGGTTTCATGATTATATTTGAACGATAAGTATAAATTATGATTACACTATTACAAATAGCTTATATATTATAAAAAGTTTAAGAACTTTTTTTTTTGTTCTTATATAAATGTATGAATTAAATTATTAAGTGAAGAAGAATATATATATTTATTCTAATATTTAATTAATGATGAATACTATAGAAACATTTTGAATTAGTAGATTATAAAACAACAGTATATTGTCTTTGAATATTTTCTTTTCTGGGCATTTTTATGTATATTTTCATTTAATTTTACAGATAAAATGTTAATGAGGCCAATACAAAGGCAAACAACGAAAAACCAAACTAAACAACAAAACTTATTAAATACGAATATACACACACATATAAACTATTGAAAGCAAATAGACAAACGGTTCCTCATTAGTACATTGAGATAAGGAGAAAAAAAAAACAAAGATTCTATAAATAAAAATGGAAGAAAGAAAAAAGAAAGATGGTCTAGTGTGATAAGATGAATGTTGACTGAGTTTTTGATGCATATCAAACTCAAGTTTTATTTGTCTTTATCAAAAAAGACATATATACGTGTGTTGTTCTTTGTCATAAAGAATTGTGTTT